AAAGAGAGATGGAGGCTGTGGCGACGGCGGCGGCCACCTCAGTCGTGGAGTGGATGGTGCCGAAGCTCTTTGATTCCTTGCTGGCAAAGCACAAGCTCCGGAAGAGCCTGGAGATTGACATCAACTACATCAAGAACGAGTTTGCTATGATTTCAGCCGTCATCCAGGATGATGATCTCCGCAACGGCTGCCGTGGCGGCCGTGAAGATGTGAATATGGTGTGGATCAATATGGTGCGTGAATTGGCGCACGCCATAGAGGACTGCATCGACCGCTTCATGCACCGTGTGACGGCCAACCCAGACACTGGGAAACGGTGCCAGGCTGTCCACCGGGTGAAGACGGTGAAGGCCCGGAACAAGTTTGCTGCGGAGATCCAGCTGCTCAAGAAGAGTTCAGAGGAGGTATTCAAGCTGAGAGACACATACAGCAACACTAGCAGCAGCACCTCCTCACCAAGGTGGTCATTGTCGTCTGAGCAGACGGACACGCCGACGGCAATTGAGGATGACGACGATGGCACCCAATCAGCAGCATCCATCCCCGTGCCCGTGGGTATGGACGGTCCCCGCAATGAGCTCCTGGATCTTATCCAGCAGGAGCAGCAGCTGAAAGTGATTACCATTGTGGGGTTTCATGGTATGGGGAAAACTCTTCTTGCATATCATGTGTACAAGGCAATTGAGAGCCAATACGAAGCAAGGGCTTGGGTCCCTCCAAGGAAAATAGGGGGGAACTGGGAAGCCGCGGATGTTCTCAAGGAGATACTTGGGCAGCTTGGCCACCTTCCCTTGCCCGTCAGTGGCAGTCTCGCCCAGCTTAAGGCAAGCATCAAAGAGTGCATTGGGACCAAGAGGTAATTCATTCAATCAGCTACCTGTCTCTATTGCTATACAAGCTTCATCTATCGATGTAATCCTTGTCTGATTATTTTTTTCATGTTCAATTCTGTATCCAGGTTCTTCATTGTAGTTGATGACTTGCAGAAAAAAACACATTGGCATGCCATAAAGGCAGCCTTCATGGGTTTAAGTGGCAGATTTCTGGTGACGACGTCCATTCAGCAAGTAGCAAATGTTTGCAGCAGCTCATCTCTTCATGATAATGTTTACACAATGGCAACTCTTGCCGACCAACACTCAAGACTATTGTTCTTCAAGGAGGCTTTCCAAGACGATGATCTACCGCCAGATGCGGAGGAGCTCGGTACCGAAGCTCTCAAGAAATGTGATGGCCTTCCCCTTGCTCTTGTTGCCACTGCCAGGTTCTTGCAAAGCACTGGTAATCCAACACCCAGGGAATGGGCAAGGTTATGTGCCGACCTGGGTACACATCTGGAGACTGATGAGCAATTTGCAAGAATGAGGCGTGTGCTTGTGCAGAGCTACACCAGCCTTGATACCCAGGTTGCCAGGACATTCTTGCTCTATTTGGGTACCTACCCAAGTGGTCGTCCTATCAAGAAATCAAGCTTGTTAAGGAGATGGTTAGCAGAAGGGTTGTCCCCAGTCGACAATACATGTAGTGATGTTGATGCCGCCATTAGCAATTTCGATAAGCTTGTTGACCGGAGTATCATCCAGCCAATGGATGCCAGCAGTAACAGCACAGAGGTGAAGACATGCCATACCCATGGCATGATGCTGGAGTTCGTCCTGCGCAAGTCCATGTCCGACAACTTTGTTACCGTGTTGTATGATGGGCAGTCTACCCCACGCCTACACAATAACATCCGCAGGCTTGCTCTGCATCATGCAAGGCCCAGAGAGGTGCAAGGTTTAACTCTTGTCCGCTCACTGACAATCTTGGGTGAGGCGCACCCATCTGTCCAGGACTTCTCCAAGTATGAACTGCTGCGAGTTTTGGATCTGGAAGAGTGCGTTGTACCCTTGGAGGATGGCCATCTCAAGTTGATATGCAGAAAACTGTTGCTGCTGAGGTACCTATGCCTCGGGAAAGCGGTTATTGCTACGGTGCTTCCCAAGGAGATCAGCAAGCTTCAATTATTGGATACACTGGATGTGAGAAATACACCGATAGAGATTCTGCCAACGCAAGTCCTGGAGCTGCCATGTCTAGTTCATCTCTTTGGGAAGTTCAAGCTCAAGCAAGGTGTAGGAGACAGGAGAATGAGTAAGCTACAGACTTGGTTGTCAATGAAGAGCAAATTGGAAACACTGGCAGGGTTTGTTGTGGACAACAGCAAGAGCCAAGATTTTGCACAGCTCATGAACAATATGAAGGCTTTGACAAAGGTGAAAATATGGTGCGAGTCTACCCCCAACACCAGCAGCTCAAGTCATCTCTCAAAGGCCATCAAGGGGATCATTGAGAGAAGCACCCTGTTCATAGGGACCCCTTCACTATCACTCAATTTTGAGGGCGAGTTGACCCAAGACATGTTGAATTTCTCTCTGGAGAAAGGAAAGCATTCATGCTCCCTCAAGCTGCAAGGAAGGAAGATATGCAGCCTGCCCCCCTTTGTTGCCTTGCTGGGTCGTCTCACTAAGCTAGGTCTTTCATCCCCTCAGCTGAGCCTGAGCCAAGACTTGCTGCCCTGAGCAAAGTGCCCGGCCTGGCGTACCTGAAGCTGGTTGCAACTGACCTGGGCAAGCTCGTCATCACAGAAGGTGCACTCGAGAGCCTGGTACGCCTATCCATCGTGGTTGAATCCATGATTGATCAGCTGGAAATCCAGGATGGAGCTCTACCGCGCCTCAAGTCACTGCAGCTGCTATGCAAAAATCTAGGTGGCTCTGTTTCCGGCACATCACTGGTCCAGTCCCTTGGACATCTTAAGGAGATTGCTCTCCATCGTGAAGTGGGAGATGAAACAAAAAATGAGTGGAAAGAAGCAGCAAAGAACCTCCCAAGTCCACGTCCCAAGATCTTGTTTCTCTAGACACCATCAACACATCGAGGTAATGAATTATGATCTACATGCCTTGCAATTAGCTTTCTCCCTGCCTCTCCACAGTTCACATCCTGGAAATGACGCTTTTTTCTATTGTGCAGACAGTACAGGCTGCGACTTGCTAATGGCAAAGCATTCTCGTATTCTGCTTATTGGTTGATGGCCATTCATCAACATGATCAAGTGCGTCGAGTAATTTAGTCTCTTTGCTCGCGTGTCGATTTGGTGGCTTCCCCGCCGTTCGTACTTTTATGTTGTGTCACCACTAGGATTTATTTATCTTGTTTCTAACGGATCGAAGTTAATGACCTGTTATCCGGAGCAAACGATTTTCTTTCCAAGAAATATGGTGACTTCCTGCTGTAATAAATAAGTTTACTCTGTTTGTTGTTGGACATGTATTTGGTTATTTCGGCCCTAGTCAACTTAACTGGCTTCTTCGGTGTATTATTTCTCACAAATTTAGCACTAGAATATCCTAGTACTTGTTTGGGATAAATTCTGGAATCTTTATTTACTAGAATATCCTACTGGGATGAAGGCTGAAGCAGCCACAGCCGGCCTATGTATGTATGTAATCGGCACCGGTGGTGGCGCAGACCGGATGACCACCAAGGTTACTCTGCTTCCTGTGGTTTAGTTTTATCTTATAGTACATGCCAATATCTAGCTTATCCGGTAACTCGGTCAAAAATTTGATGACCTCAAATTCTGGTTCCATTGGCTCGTATGCTCCAGCAATATCAAAGTCACACTGGTAGAATTGTCGGTACCTTCACTTTGACGGGTTATCCGTCCTGTATACTTTTGCAACCTGGTACCTCCTCAATGCACTTATGTTGTTCATGCATGGCAAGATATATCAGGCAAAAGGAAGAGTCAGATCGTACTGCAGAGAGCAAAGCACCCAGCAGGTTACTTGATGATCAGACATCAAAGTTCTAACATCTAGGAATGTATATAATAATGCAATAAAGGATTGACTGACTTGCTGAATGCTGCAAACACTAACAATTGTAGTACAATTAAACTTGTCCGGATAACCTTGGAAATCAAACCCTTCCGCAAACATTAATGATATTTAAACTGTTTGTACCAACTTAGAGTCTTCACCAAATTTGCCCATAAGATTTTCCAGAAATACTGGCTCGGTTGATCTGCCCCAAAGTCACATGTTCCCTAGCAGGACAGAAGTAAGGATAAACATTTAGACAGTTAGGAGCCTCCTGAGGTCGGCGGCGACGTGGGTCTCGTCCTTGGCGGGCGTGGCGAGAGCATCGGGAGAGGCGCAGCAGCCAATGGCGGCCTCGTCCCGGGTGAGTGCGGCGGCGGCGGCGGGGGAAGTCACCATGGAAGTTCCGATGGGGGCGTGGTACAGCACTACAGCGCTAGGCCCAGCAGCGCCTAATTTTCTTCTTCTTCTTCCACATTTTATTTGTATATATATTTTTTCGGGGTAAAGTACACATATGAAAAAAATATCCATGTATTTCAAAAAGTATTTGCGTATATGAAACTGTTCTTGTCTATTTGAAAGAAAAAAATTGTATAACAAAAAGCGTATCAAACCAAAAAGACATATTCCTCTATTTTAAAGCAATGTTCTCGTATGCCCAAAAAATGTCTGTCAATCATAAAATGTATATTTTATATACAAAAGTTCTCATTTATTTTATAAATACATATCATTGTTTGTAAAAAATGGTCATCATAAATTGTTCATCTTGCATGAAAAACAATTCATCCTGTATTTACAAAAATGTTCATCATGTATTGACAAATCTTCATGTGTAATAAATAAATATTCATCTTATAAAATTTAATGTTCAACATGAATTAAAATAATATCAATTTCTAATTAAAAAAATGTCCACCTTGTATTTTAAAAATAAGCTTTATGTATTTTAAGAATTCATCATGTATTCTAAAAATAATCATAGTATATTTGTAAAATGTCCAACATGTATTAATGTGTTCATCATAATTTTGAAACATCATGTATTAAAAAATATGTATTTGTCAAAAAGTTTTATATTTTATAGTAAATAAGCAGGTAAAATGTTCAACTACTTTTATTAGGAAAGAAATCATGCTATTTGAAATTTAGAAAAAAAAATATTCATGATGAAACAAATGTTCATGTACTTAAAAACTACTAGTCGAATGCCTGTCCACTGCCACGGGATAACAAACTTAGACAAAAAGATATTTGTTAAATCATCACTATAATTTGCGTCATCTATGTCGCATGCAGCTTATGAGTGTCTTCAAACAAATATTATCATGTACGTAGAAACCCAGTCTTTTGGCTCTTGGGCACTCCTGGTGCACGCTATAAAAAATCATCTAGAGATTTTACAATCTCGAAAGGTTAAAAATAATAATACTGAGATTTGCATGGCGGGCTCGCGCCGCCACACAAAAAGGCCTCTGCACGGCGGGCATCTTGAACAGCGCGGCCGGCGCGGAGGTGCCTCCTCCGCCTCCGGCAGCAAGAATGGAGGACCCGGGTAGGAGCCTCCTGAGGTCGGTGGTGGCATGGGCCTCGTCCTTGGCGGTCATGGTTAGCGCGGCAACGGCAGGCGCGGGCGAGTGGCGCTGTGTAGCAGCCAATGGCTGCCTCGTCGCGGGTGAGTGCGGTGGTGGCGGCGGGGAGTCGCCATGGGAGTTCCGATGGGGGCCAGACGCTTACAGTGTGTGGCACTGCACTAAGCCCAGCAGCGCCTAATCTTCTCTTTCCTTACATTTTTGTTTTGTTCATATTTTTCTTCTTAGTAAATTACACAAATATCACCTATTTTTTAAAAAAAATATTCATGTATTTCAAAACATATCCGTGTATAAAAAAATGCCATGTCTATTTGAAAATTTATTTCTGTATAACAAAAATGTTGTCATACCAAAGAGATATGTTGTTGTATTTTAAAAACAATGTTCTAGTATTGACAAAAAAACCGTGAAGATAAAAAAATGTGTGTGTGATTTAAAAACAGTTCTCCATGATTTTGAAAATGTATAACATTGCTTGTGTACATCATATATTTAAACAATCAATGTGTACCTGAAAAAAATCACAATGCGTCTTTTAGAAATGCCATTGTCTGCTTAAAAAAGTATCATCAAATAATTCATAAATATTAATCATGTATTTTATAAATATTCATGGTGTATTATAAAATGATCATCGTGTATATATATAAAGAGCGACTATGTATTTAAAAAATTGATGGTGACGGGATACACGCGTCGAAGCGTGATGCGGTGCATTGTTTTCTCTTCTTTTTTTTCTTGCTTCGTGATTTGTTCTTTCTTGTTTTCGTGTTGTGATGTTTTCTTTGCAATTCTTTTGTCTTGAGTGACTTATGATGTGGTTGCTACCATGTTATAGTAATAGCCAAAATATTTTCTATGTGCAAACTATCAAACAAATTCGCCATGTGTGGAACTATAATTGTAGGTGCTTTCATCTAATTATATTAATGGAATATACGTATGATGCTACAAGGGCATGCCCGATAAGTTTTACATTTTTATTCCAATTTCATTTCAGAAAAAAATTCGAAAAGAATATATGTATATATTGTGAAAATATCATGATGCTCCTGAATAAATATTTCCATGTGTTAAGATAAATTTTCATGTATTAATAAAAAATAATTTTATGTACATTAAACAAAATATTCACATATTTTGAAAAAAAATCATATTTACAAAAATAATTAAGGTTTACAGGCAAGTTTAGCATTTTCCAAAAAAGGTTTATGCGTGACTTATTTATGTCCATGCACTTTGTAGAAAAATTATCATATTTCCCCCAGAAAATGGAAAACCAAAAGTAGGAAATGGAACAGAAAAGTGGGGAAATAGAAAAAAAACACCAAAAAAATAAACTATCATGACAACCCGGAAGAAAAAAAAAACCAGAGGGAAAATGGGGAAAAAGGTACATGGTCCAACCCATATGCGCGCTAAGAAGGCTGCCTATGCATCATGGTAGAAGTCATGACTACGCTGGAAATACAAGAGGGGCACCGTTGTGCCATGATTCGCTGCAGCTGATATGTAAGGATCTCAGCAGCATCACGATCCAGTGCTTGCCATTCTTGAAGGAGTTCGCACTCCATGATGGATTGAGCGACCGAAAAATAGGAGTGGAAAGAAACAGTAAAGAACCACCCAAGAGGGCAAGGTTTCTCAAGATCTTGATTGTCACGAAAGAAATAGTTTATAACCATTTTAGGAAGTGAGCCTGCCGCACGTCTCCAGCGCGTGGTAAGAACACGCCCCGCCGTCGCCTATGCCACGCGGCCTTTGGCCGGCGACGCCACCGGCGGCGGCAAGGGGAGGGAGGCCGGGGAGGGGGGCTGAGACGCGGCGGCGCTATGGTTGGCTCCCCGAGTCGCCCGCGGGAGCGACTCGGGAGCATAATTGTGATACCCTTGCAGATAATTTTCTTGTACTAAGAAAATGCAGAGCATTTTGAGAGCCATGCGACACCGCCTACTGACTAATACGACATTATTAGTGACACTGCATCCTGGTGCCATTTCGACTAGACAGTTCTGTAAGCAAGCTTGTATGTGCATCTTATTCTATTTTGGTTATTTCTTCTGCTGTGTTGAGCTACGTATAAACTCTCTCTACAGA